TGACAAAATGTAATTACTTCTGATCAAATGAATTAGTGAAACTGATTTATCATAGTATCACCACCACAATGAGAAATCACATGAAATCCAAACACAGCCGACTGATGAAAGACAGCTGTCCATCACTGCATTCACGACTGCAGGTAAGCTGTACTCCGATTGAGCCGAGAAGAGAGCGCATCTGATAGCCAAATGATCTTGAGACATAGGCGTAATTTGCGGGTGGGACATGTCCCCACCACTTTTTGCCAGGGTCGATATTGTCCCCACCACTTTTTGAAAGTAATTGACAAATATATTGCCGAAGGTATGTATTAAAGGGAAAACAAGATTAACAAATCATTCTTCATAATCTAATTAGGATGCTAAAACAACAACAACATTTGACTCCTCACGCATGCATAACTCATGCAGTGCAATAACGACATGATTTGCAGCTGTCGCACTTTTCGCAATGTCATTAGGCTATAGCATTTTATTTAAAAAATTGAGAGCGTCCTTGTGCTAAGTAGGCCTGCCCTCTACTAAAGATTTTTTCTAGGCAACTAGTCGCACGTTATATTAAATTGATTAATATAATAATATATTAACCATACTTCAATATAGGCTATAGGATTGGTGTTGTACCGTCAGAAGTCAGAAAGAGCTTGTTTACACACACAAGGAATTTGACTTGGTGACAGGAGCTTCCAGTGCAGAAGAAAGTATGGAAATAGTGCAAACTAGTGCAGCAGACATAGAAATTACACAGTAGAGATGGAGTATAACACTAATATAAGAAAAACAGAAAATTAAATAATGCACTATATACAGAAGTAGAAATATAGAGAAATGTAACTGTTTAAATGAATGTACAGATATATTTACAAGTGTGCAGTTTACATATGTACAATTTTTGGATTCTATGTATAAAGTCAGTCATTTTGAATTTGAATTACATTGACTGTTGAGAATTTTCATTGTAACCTATTATTTCTGAACATATAACATGTATGTAGTTCATGCATCTTTTCTGCAAAGATATTTAACAAGTGATTTGTTTAACATTTACATCATGTTGACAATTTCATGTGTGGAGGGAATGTCTTGGAATATAATTTTCTTCAACTAGAGGGTTAATAAAGAAAAAGTTATTTGAATCATGTTGTAGTTACATTTTTAAGTTGACTAGTTAAAAATCGTAAAAAAAATCGGAATCGGTCAAACGCTCTGAAAAAAAATCGAGATTTTATTTTTTGCCAAATCGCCCAGCACTAATCAAAAATATTTAATTTATTTCAGAATGTATTAATTTATGCTATATGTATATATTTATATATAAATATATTATTATAATCATCTATATAAGTTTATCTCTATCCATCTATACATCTATCAATATCTCTATCTATATCTTTATTTTATATATATATATATATATATATATATATATATATATATATATATATATATATATATATATAAAATATTTATT